AAGCACTGCTTGGCCGATGCCTCGTTAAAGCAGCAACATGCAGCAGACTCTCCGTTTCCTTCGTGTTAACTTTGTTGAGAAAGAGCCCCCTAAATGGATGGTGGCCATTCCCCTCAGACATAGTTAAAAGTTTATCTCCACAGCAGAATTTAATTTAGGTGCACTCTGGTAGAAGACATTCTAATGTAGGCTTCTAATCATATAATCAAGTGGACATTTCTCCTCACTTTTAGCCTGAGCCAAATGAAAACAGTGGATGGGGGCACGCTTAATTTATGCTAATGATAATCATGCCTGCGGCTAACTACTTAAAAATTTAACAAACATGATGTCAAACAGCTGCAATGCCATGTTTCCTGATAATGAGCCACTGGATATATAGTTCAGTATGAGGATTTGTTTTAATGAGGGGGGATTTGAGGCAGAAGCATCAAGAGTCCTCTAGCATCTTGCTGTAAGGAATCAATTTTTTATGAAATAAAAACCGAGAAAATTTTATAATTAAATAAAAAAGGGGATCAATCAGCCTGTTTCTCAGTCAGATAAAGCAGACGATCAGTCAGTGGGATGAATCTTTTTGATTTATTGGTCAGCTCCCCGATAGCTGACTGCGACCTTTGGCCTGTAGCTCCAAGTTTAGACTCTGACGCAACGCTCTTTCTCTCCGTCTGATCAGAATGTGCGTGTTCAGCGGAGAGAGAGTGCGTTATTGAAGGTGACATTCATCCCAGCTGCACCCACTCTTTCCTTTCAGGTCACTTGCACACAGCTCAAGTCAGATATTCCTTTCGTCTATAATACACTCAATTTTGAGATGCGTTTTTTTTTTTCAACTGAGCTAAAAAATACATGAAAAATACAGAGGTGCAGGATATTTTACTGTTTGTATCAAAAAAAATTGTAAAACTTGACAGACGTGAGTTAGTAGATTAAGAAGGACATCGAAAAACATTTATAAACATGAAAACCATCCAACCTTTTTAACAGTTCTGCTTTTTTGTGCCAGTTAAAAGGTTCTTCTTCCTGATCCTGAGATCAAACTCTTTAATATTGAAAGCTTGAATTGTTCTAAGTGACAAATATGATATGATATGGTAAATATACAGGAGAGAGCAACATTCAATGACATTTCAGCTGGAAGATGTTCATTATAATGTTACGCTTGGTCTTTAATCAGCCAGTGGCACAGCCTACTGAAATGCACAAAGATTGATTGTGCCTTCTCTTTCTTTGACATCTCTTGCCATGATTAGAGAAAGCATCGCTTTTTTAATCCAAAAGTCAAATAGATACCCACAGATTTGTTCT